TTTCATATCAAATATTCAGCAGTGTAAATAATATAACTGAGGCTAACTTGTGGCATGTCGGATTAGCTAGTGATAGACAGAAAAAAGATAAGGAAAAAGCCATCTGTTGTTTAAAAGTTACCTCACTTTAGTTTACACAACTGTGAGAGATCGAAGTACTCAAGGGCATTCTGTATTTTAATGGAACGAAATGGTTCACTAAATTGCATACTCCCTTGATTCTCTAGTACACGTGCACTGATAACCGCTGAAAAATTTTAAAAACGTTCCTATTAATGGAATACTTGAACTATTGTCCGCTGCTATGTATTTCCTAGGTAAATTATATTCTTGCATTGTTTTGGTGCTTCCTACCTGTAGCTATTGCATGAACTGTTTCCAACACAGCTTATGTAGGCATGGACGTTATTTTTTGACGACTGCAAGATCAAGGATTCTTCGGTCGATCAGATTTCAAACTTTATTCCAAAGATTTTTGCTCCGAAGTAAAACAGTAATCTAACAAATTCAGTTGACATACACCCACTAAATTCTTCACTGAAGGAAGAGAAATCGTTGTGAACGTTGAGAGCATCCATGTCGTTTTTAAGTGCATTTTAGCTGTTTTGCGAGGTGAGTGCTGTAGTTACTGAGACATGTCAAATAACAAATTCGTGAACTACATATGCATTCCAGAAGCTAGCAGTTGAAATCACATGTGCAATCACATGTTCGTGGACGATCGAAGCAGTTTCCGTATGACAAGGATCCTCAACAGGCCAATAGGATTTGTTCTCTTATAATATGCCCCATTTTCGACAGGTTCAGTAACAACTCACTTCACAATAAACATCTCTATATATCTTACTACCACTTAAAACACCATAACAATAGTTATTCATTTCGTCAATTAACACAGTCTCATGCAGACAGGAAATCCCGAATTATAGATGCATATGTAGTGGAGTTGGGCCCTAACCACACGATCTTTGAAGCCGAGCATATTATTGCTGAAAAGACATATATATAACAAGTGACACGAAGAGATGGTTAACAATAGATTTTTCGCGCGCTATTTAAAAAGGACAGTGGTATTTTTCCTCGTTGAGTAAATTCTATTGTTTTGATCGTTATTAACGTATCAAGACTACTGTTTTTATACTTTGATTGAATTTCTTTCAGTTAAAGTATTCTATTAGAGTATCATCTTTGATATCCTAAATAGTTTTATCGTCGGTACTCCAGAGTACCTTTGTTTTTCTATTGTGTCTGTTAGTACTTTGGTCCTAACTATTTATAGTTTTTTTTCTACTTGTAGTCAACACTCACCTTCGCATCCTAAAATGACTGGAAGATGCAACAAAAGCATTGGCCACCGCCCAGGATATCGATATCCTGTTGATAGCGGCATGCAGTGCGATGAGTGCAAAGGTTGGTACCACGATGTTTGCACGAATCTAACACCTGCAGCTTTCAAGCGGTTCAGTAAAAATGGGTGCGTATGGCTATGTCAACAGTGCTGTTTGGATGCAAATAGCCTGTTAACCGAGGCCATATCAATAGTAAATGCCGCAAAAAAGTGTCTCGGCAAGCGCCGTCGGGATACATCAGTCAGAACTCAATCTGTCGACACGCAGATTGACACAAGGCAGGCCCAAGTGAGTCCAAAAACTGCCGACCCACACTCTACTAAGGAGGAACAACATCCTCCAAAGAGGTCTGTTACAACCCGAAACTCGCGCAAAAAAGTCTCTTCTGTCCCTCGTATCAAAAATGATACCCAGAAGGGAACTTCCGGAAGCCGAAACCGCAGGGCTCTATCGGTTTCCAGCGCGAAAGATGACCCAATCTCCCAAGTCGTCCTGACTCTTCCGGAATCCCACAGTACGCCTGACGCGACTGCGGTTACCACTCCAAAGAACGTCGACGATTGGGTACGGGTCGTAAGAAAAAAACGTCAAAATGACGTAAAAGGAAATCATACCCCCACCAAAAGGGTCGACAAGCCGAGGTCTGATCACAGCGACAGATAAGTCATTCTCCATAGAGTCAAGGAGAGTGACAACTTAGAACAGAAAGCTCGTTTTGAGCATGACATTGTGTCGATAAAACAACTACTCAACCAAGTTATGCCCCAAGACATCTCCGGAGTCACCTTGCTAAAGGTGTATAGACTAGGAAATCTAGCGCATCTGAAACCAAATCAGTCTAGACTACTCAAAGTCGTTTTCAAATCCTCAAACGAACGCGACTTAATCTTACAAAATGGACACAAATTAAAGGGTTCAGGAGTTTTTCTCCGTAAGGACTTACCGTTGGCGGACCGTGTTAAAAGACGGGAAGCCGAAAAGGAACTACAGCTCAGATTAGACGCTGGCGAGGAAAACCTGGAAATTGCAAAGTTTCGGGTTGTGAGGCTTCGACAGAGGATGATGCCGAAGCCACTCTGGGTGAAGCACGAGGCCACCTAAATAGGCTTCGGATCTGTTACACCAATGCCCTGAGCTTGCTCAATAAGCCACCGGAACAAGGTGTACAGATTGACTCAACTAGTCCAGACATAATCGCAGTCACAGAAACATGGCTGACGCCGTCTATAGATAGTAGGGAACTTGATTTCCAGGGTTTTACATTAGTAAGGGCCGATGGAATACAAAAGCGTAAAGGAGGGGGAATAGCTCTATTCATTAAGAATGCCAGTCCATTCCCCATTATCGACAGTGTATCACATGAGAGTGGGACGTATGAATTAGTTAATTGCCACTTGAAATGCAAGGGACAAGAGCTACTGCTTGGTTCGATCTATCGCAGTCCAAGCTGTGAGGTAAATGAGGTCTTGCTAAGCAGTCTCAACACTTGGTCACTAAGTGGTCTATGTCCAATCTGAGGGGACTTTAATGCACCCATAGTGGACTGGGGAAATCTGCGAACTGAATCGTCAGATAATTCCTTCAAACAGGAACTAGTTGATGCGGTTATCACATGTGCCCTAATGCAACACGTGAAAGAGGCAACAAGGTACGACCCGGGCTCTGCATCATCCTTACTAGACCTTATATTGACTGACTATGAGGACGACGTTGCAAACCTGGATTACATGTCACCCTTAGGCAAAAGTGATCATCCAGGTTTAACCTTTGACTTCCATATAACTGTCGATCACGAGCACGCCTCAGCTCAATCTAGACCTTGGTCACGAAGTGGTCGATGTCCCATCTGAGGGGACTTTAATGCACCCATAGTGGACTGGGAAAATCTGCGGACTGAATCGTCAGCAAACTCCTTCGAACAGGAACTAGTTGATGCTGGGGGGGCCGCGTTATTCCTCCTGTACGTAAATGATCTCCCTCGTCTACTATCGTCATCGGTCTTACTCTATGCTGATGATGTCAAAATATGGAGAGCGATACAAAGCAAGGGCGATAGCTTAGAACTTCAAAATGACCTGGAGAGATTATCTGAATGGTCCCAAACCTGGCAATTGCCGATAAACACTTACAAGTGTATTGTGATGCATATTGGCCACCAGGGTACAGATACATACACGATGAATAACACTGAGTTACCTATTGTTCAGGCACACAGTGACTTAGGCGTCATCATCAGTCAAGACGTAAAGACTACTCCACACTGCCGTGCAATAGCCACCAAAGGTTTTAGGACTTTATGGTCCATACGCAGGGCTTTCAGGCATCTCGACGCTAAAACGTTTCTGACTTTGTATACAGTGTTCGTACGCCCTAAACTTGAGTACTGTATACAAGCAGCTAGCCCCTGCCTAAAAAAAGACAGTAAACTCTTGGAAATGGTTCAGAGAACAGCAACTAGGCTGATTCCCGGAATAGCGAAGCTCCCGTATGGTACTAGACTGACCAAGCTAAACCTATTCCCGCTGTCATATAGAAGAATCAGAGGCGACTTGATTACAGTTTTCAAATTGCTTAATGACAAATTTGCACCTGATATGCCCTCATTTTTCTTGTCTTCCAAAACAGAAAATCTACGAGGACATTCCAAAAAAGTTCACAAGCCCCGAACGAATTACTTGTCAGCTGACTACCGACTTTCCCATCGAATAATCAACGAGTGGAATTCATTACCTCAGCACGTGGTTGAGGCTCCATCCGTCGACTCCTTCAAAAGAAAGTTGGATCAGCTGAGAGACCATCATTGCCAGGACTAACACAGGCCATCAAGCCTCCTGTCCTTTCCAAACTGAAACTGAAACTGAGAGAACATTCAATAGAATTAATGAAATGGCATGGCTCAGCCTTGTAGGCGTGGTCATCCTTAGTAACTTATCTCTTTTATGCATATCAAATATATTGTTCTATCTCCAGCCTAACTATGTCCTCCATCATACATTGGTGATGATTACGTAGGACGAGGCAGTGAAGACAATGATGTGACTTACACGTAGGATCCCATAGATTAGGTGTCACACCATGACAAATCTACCGTTTTAAGAATAGGTCTATTGTTAGAGTAATACCAATAACGAAGTAGACCACAACTCTACATTGGCAAGCCTGACTAAAGAAACTCAGCCTATTATTAATCCTCATTTTCACCTCAACTTTATCGATCGGTTTTTACCAATGTTAACTCATTATTTTATTAGTCATCTGGTCAGTGCTCACGTGATATTGATTGATACTGATAGCTTACTACTAATAACTGGTCGTCTGTATTCATTATTAGCTATGATGGTTCATTAACAGGCTTTAGTAACATTTACATGCCTCAGTGAAATAAACTCATTAAAACATCAAGCACTAACAAACATGGCTTTTAATTGACGTAAATACACATTGACTAGCAATGTAATCAAGGGCTGAAAACGGTTTTAGGAATAATCTATATAAAATATATGTATACGGACAACGATTTAGTCCTTGCTTTCAGGAACAAAGAATTTACAAGGAATCTCTAATGAAGTTCATAAGCATAGAACTAATTACTTGTTATCTGGCTACAAACCCTTCCACTTAATCCTAGAAAACTATAAATCATTATTTCATCACATTGTGATAGTCTGTTCATCGACCTATTCAAAAGAATGTCATATTAAGTTAGCTGTCTAATACTATCTTGAACAAATAAAAACAGAAATTAAGAGGCTCACTATTTGACGGCTAGGTTACTTTAGTATGTTAAGCACAATCGTAGCTGTTTCCACTTACTTTTTCCACCTTTCGGTGCACTCCGTCATAACACGAGTTTTATTCACATATGTTTCCTTGTAATTTTTCGACTTTATGACTGTGAAAATTCTTTGACTTTGGTCGGGAAAAGCCGTGGACTAATCTATTCACTTTGTTTTAAAACTTAAGAATTGTACTTATATTACTGCTTCACCTTGACATATACATTTCGTTGGCACATTTTAATAACTCATATTCTTTTATATCTCAAGCTTGTTTCGCAGATTTTGCACGTCCGAAACCACTCCTAGAGCTGTCCGTTGTTACGAAACTTTGTAGTTATTATCAAACAACGAACGTCGGTAAAGTTTGAAATTCATTAATCTCTCATCCTAAGGAAGAATTAACTGAAGGTCGATGTTTAAAACTTTATGTTCGACCGAGTTCCCAATGAAATATGGGATATGGGATTCAAGCAGCGGGTCCTTGTTTCAAATATGAGGCGGATATGTTGGAACGAGTCCAACGCCGCGGGACAAAAATAGTAAAAGGCCTATCTTATGAAGACAGACTGAGACACCTCAACTTATTTCCGTTATCTTACCGGCGAATACGGGGTGATCTAATATTGGCATATCGTATCCTGAACGATGACCTTGGTACTAACATGTCCTATCTTTTCCTCCCGTCTAGGGCTGATCATTTGAGAGGACATTCAAAGAAAGTCCAAAAACCGAGATCAAATCGTCTACGTCTGGAGTTTCGTTTCTCGCACCGAGTAGTGAATTATTGGAATCCTCTACCAGAACACGTAATATCAGCACCTTCTGTTGATATATTCAAGACGAGATTGGACCTCCACAGTGTAACAAACTGCAAGGATTAAAATAGGTCACTAGACCTCCTATCCTTATTACTGAAGACTGAAAGTATCGTAATGTCTTTTAGGGAAGTTTCCGACTCTGAATCGTGACCTTTAAGTGACGCTAAACTGACCTTGAGATTGTTCAACTAATAACTAGGACCAAGCGAGGGTTATAAAGCAGTGTGATGAATTAGAATTATAAGTTACGGTTGGCGGTCAAGGTTAAGAATTTGATCTAGGGTTTCCATCACGTACTGACATCAGCTATGATGCCAAAACTTTATTAGACAAATGGATGAGTGAGTCTCGCGCCAAAATCCGAGACCTGTTATCCTAAATCTTGATAATTCTCCCACAAATTATAGTCTCGTTCCCTCGCCGTATACCACCGAAAACATATGCAACATATAACTTCGCCCTGCGTTATCACTGTTACCTCCGGAATTTATCTGTGATTATTATCAAACAGCACAAAATAATATGTTAAAGTTGTTGTCTTCAAATCATACGTGTCTTCGAAGCATTGCTCGTACATCCGAGACCACCGATTAAGTAATGCAGTTGTTAGAAAACGGGTATGCCTCTGGCATGTCTCATATAACATATTGTACGTCTAAGGTTAGCGAAGATACGGTCATATTGTATCATATTATTAGCATTCCGTTTCACCTAGAATATCGATAATATATTTCAGCACAGGTACACTTTAGGGGATACCCACTTGTGATAAAATAAGAAGTGGTACGCACAAATTTCGTCCAAACATTTTCATTGTTGGAATAAAATGGTTAGGGGACTCTTTACTGGGAGCAGCGGTAACAGCATACTCTTCCGTATCTTTTAAAGGGACTCCTGACGTTTACTTTAGTTCTGTAGGTACCATATGAGACCACACTGGGTGTTCCTCTCCAGTTAATCCTATTAGGTGTTAGCTGCTTTTACTTTCACCTTGAAGGGGTTAAAATAATTACCCCCGTCTTAAACAGGAAACAGATTCCTGACACCCGGACACTGATCCCATAGTACAATCAATTCTCCGAAACTGTTAAACAAAATGAGAAGTTTGAAAGTTTGCAGATTTACAATGAATCATTGAGAGTAGTATTGCTTAATGTGTGTGTTACCAAACCTTTCCAATTCGGATATTTTAAGTGACTGTCTGTGTTTGATCACCGTTATCTCCGAATGATTGCTGATATCCAATAACAACACTGTCTTAGTAATGCAGTGGTTCGGCAATGTGTTCGAACACATTGATGATATTTAAATTGTTTCACCACCTTGAAACACTGACTTTGGTGACTTGGACATGTACTATGATTTTCCTGTCAGCAAATTTCACGTTGTGCAATATTTACTGATGCTAGAACTAGTTGCAAAATGCGTAGAGGTAGTCAGTGCTTGATATGATGTAGTATAAAAGAAAGCTATGCAAGACTGGCTTCTGTTCGTCCTTCACAACTCCCTAGTTTGAGTCCCAGAGATGGTGCAATTCGATGGCTTGGAATGTTATCAGACATGGCTCAGAATACAAGGCAGTGGCGATCCTGCTGTAACTTTTTTTACTTCATAAAAGCTAGAATAACTAACAGGATCCTTTTTGGTTGTGTTCTTCCTAAATGAACTGCTCCATTCATCCATTAATACTATTATTATTATTTCACTCTCATACACTCATTTCTATTCATTATTGTTTTGTTTTCTTATTATGCTCACTTTCGTTTCTCCATCTCTTCACAACCTCATTTTTACTGTGTAGCGCTTATTATTTTGACGGACCCCTGTACCAATGTTATTGTGTTCAAGTGATAATAATTAATAGAATAAGTAACAAATAGTTCGTAATTATGTCGGCTATCAATAAAAAACCCGCTAAACCATTCAAGCAATTGGTTGTCAGTTTTCAAGGTTTCGAGCTTCAATTAAAGCTATTATACCGCTCTTTACGGGAACAATAGAATTTGTCTTTGCTTGGAGTAACAAAGTAACCTGGGAATTCTGTATACATTTCCTTATCAGTTGTTTTATGCGTGTTAACCAGATATAGTTAACGGGATTTTATCATCTGGTAGCTTTGGTAAAATATCCATTTTTATGCTTATTACCTGTTTCTGCTTTTAAACACAAATCATTTGTGTTTGATTTTGGATTTATGAATTTATCTAACATTATTTTCACTCGTAAAATTGAAAATAATCACAACTTGAGACATTGGAAAATCTCATAGGTTGAACAACTGTTTCACAAACTCCAGAGGGGTTAATGCTGACTTAGTACCTGGATTTGTTTATTAAGATATATTGACTAATTTGTGTAGCTCAAAACCTAGTGCACAAATCTGTGGTTGGTTACTAAGCTGTGTTATTGTCCTTTCAATAATTTTTCGGTGATTTTTATGTACAGCCAATGTCGGTGACATTGTCATTCCTAGCTTGCTGTGCAATCCCTAAAGAGTCAATTGACGACCGTGAAATCATTAAATGGCAGCAAAAACGTAACAGGGAAATAGAAAAAGAACTGAAAAAGGAGAAAAGTCGTCTTCGTCAAAGACAGATGATCTTATTATTGGGCACTGGTGAAAGTGGAAAAAGCACTTTTCTCAAGCAAATGAAAATTATTAATGGAAAGCATTTTACAAATCAAGAAATCGAACAGCTAAAAGATATTATCTATGATAACATATACAAAGGTGTTTTATTCCTACTCCAGGTTAGCAAATTTGTTTTCCCTCTTTGTTTCTTATATCTATCGTTCTAAACTGTTAAAATGGCTGTAGCTAAAGTCTAAGCATAAACGTAACGTAATAACTTTTTATATATTTATGCTAAACTAAATTTATGGTGTTAGAGTTTATTATGTTATCTGACTTGTCAGTGTGGCATTATACAACCAAAACAGGTGTGTGTTTTACTGAATCACAGATCCAACAGAAAAAGTTACATTCTCAAGTCCTGAATTCCTCCTTCGATTTAATAAGAATCTGTTAGATAAATAATGATAAATACGACGTCTCGTTTGATTTGTAATTTGGTGTTCTTTGTCATAGAAAGACTCACCCAATTAGCACATCGCTACTCAATACTATTTGTACTAACAACTGTGGGCGAGTCAGAACTATGATTTGAGTCGGGTATATCAAGTAGTGTTTATCAAGACTATCCACTCCATATTCAGTTTTCTATTGATATACATTTAAAAATAGCCCTTTTTTCGTCTAACTTACCAGAAGTTGATTAGTTATTAGATTTTCCTCAAAATAGTCTTGTAAGGCGAAAACCATCGATTGTTACGTTAGCTCAATAGCCAAGTAAGGCTTTCACGATTAGTCAACCCATACTGACTGAAACTCTTGTTCTTTTAGATCTCAACTTGTTTGAAAGCTAACTAAAGAGTTGTATAACTAAAGTCAGCAACCTTCATATTGTAAATATTTTTTCATTCTGGTTGGGAAAGGGATTCAACCCTAAATCAAAGTGAATTATGTAGGTCGTGTTAGAATGGGTAAGAAAGGGGAATGGTTATTCGTAGTCAAACGTCAGTGGTTTTCTATAGCCTTATTCAGACTAGTTGATTTCAAGAAAGTCTTTGTGACTGATTCCGATGAGTTTACATATCGATGGATTTATGAAGAGCAATGATGGTTGCCGTAAACAAAATAAGTGTAAAACCCTCAAAGATGATCAGTAATACTCACCAAAAGGGGTTGATACACTTACAGGGTAATATCAGACGAAACAATAGGAGGTCGTCAGCCACTCACCATTCGCGTATTATAAAGCCATAATATAGATGCTGATATTGAATAAGTGGAATATGGCTTTCAGTTGAATCCAGGACGTTTTTTCCTTTGTATTTGGAACTCGTTAGCTGAAGGTACTTGTGTTGACTAAATATTTCTTCTAGATCAGAAAAGAATCTGATCATCCTGATGGGAGACCTGAACACCAAAGTCAGACTAGACAACACCGGATATGAAGACGACATGGACTGGCTGGGATATTGGAACAAGAATGATGAGAGATTTAAAAATTTATATGCATTCAATAAAATGGTTGTAGATGGCACAATATTCCCACACAAACGCATACACAAAGCTACATGGGTCTCACCGGATCACACTACGGAGAACCAGGTAGATCACATCTGTATCACTAAAAAAAATCACAAGGTCAATCGAAGACGTGAGAACCTGGAGAGGAGCCAACATAGCTTAAGGTCACTACTAACTAGTGGTTGCGAAGATGAAACTGAAGCTAAAGAAGCATTGGAAAACTGGACAAACAGCATTACAAAGGTTCAATACAATCTTCCTTCGAGATACTGACAAACTCAACGAATTCAAGATAGCTTTCAACAACAGGTTCCAAGGTTTACAAGATCTACTTGAAGAAGATGAAATTACTATGGAGGACAACTGGAAAGGGATAAAAGAAGCACTAACTTCAACGTGTCAGTAGGTTCTGGGTCCTAAGAAGCATCATCATAAGGAATGGATCTCTATGGTAACCCTGGACAAGATTGAAGAAAGTAATAACAAGAACACAGAAATTAACAACAGTCGAACACGAGCAGAGAAAGTCAAGGCAAAAGCAGACTACGCAGAGGCGAACGAGGAAGTGAAGAAAAGCATTAAAGCTGACAAGCACAAATACATGGGCGAACTAGTAACGACAGCGGAAAAAGCTACAAGGGAAAGAAATATCAAACAACTATATGATACAACGAAGAAACCCCGACCTTTGCTGCTACCTTGACGTGGTGGTCGGGCTTGCCTATCGTGATGAAGCAATCGAGCTATACTGGCTGGAACAATCGTTCCTCAAGGTCCTACCATGCCATACAGGTCGGTTGAAGAGCGGTAAGACTAAGAGCAGCAATCCCAAGGTCCGAAGGCGAAGTCGTACTGCCGACTGTACAGAGGTGTGACAGCAGTAAGGTGTTTCCTTCAGACAACCAGCATGACAGCAATGCTGTCTTCCCACAAGGGGTGGGGTTAAAAAAGGTCGACCCTAGAAATGCACACCTCGCCTTGTCCCACGAATATATATATATATATATATATATATATATATATGTATCCTGTTGACCACCTCCAACCACTATCTGATCTCAGCATAGTGCACGCAGTGTCGAGCCAATTAGACTAGTGGCCACATTGCAACTTGATCGATAGCATTCGATCAGCACTTAGAAGGACTTGACATGCATGACATTGATCACCACCCAGTGATCAATCAATTGTGAAAGATTTTGTAAGTCAGTAGTTTCTCATGGAATGATTGTACAGAAAAAGTCACGTGATTTCACATTATTAGGTGAATCTAATTATATATATATATATATATATATATATATATATATATATATATATATAATGTACATATCGTTTTTTATTGGTAATTAAGACAAGTGGTTTAATGAAAATGTTTTTGTTGGCTGATTGATCCACTTTTCTACTGTTTATGATTGTTTGCTTATGAATGGCTCCTTAAGTGACATAGTTACAACTACATTCATATAAAATTTAACAACAGTCTTATTGTTTCTTAATATGGTTAAAAATTATGAATTGTGAAGTAATACTAGAAGAAAGATCAAAATAATATATCTAGGAAGATATTTGGTAAATCGTATTGACAATAATTATTTCTATCGAATCGGCATTAAAATTCCTAATATTTAATAAGTTATTTTCTTCTGCCTTATTGATTTCACCTTCGTAAGGCACGGGAAAGTCTCAATATTCCATGGGCTGGTGGACTTGGTTCTGCTGCTGCTCAGGCTAGTAGAGAAATCGAGGCACATTTTAAAGAAACTCGAATGATGCGCCGCGAGCGCTCTCGACTTGGTCAACCACTCTGGTTGGAAGAAGAATTTCTGGAAATTGTACCGTCACTGAATGCAATTTGGGAAGATGAAAGTGTTCGATTAGCATTCGACCAACGTTCAAAAATTATTACAGAGAATTTCGTGAGTTGGATTATTTTTACAAAGTATGCTTTTGATTGAAAAGTTTGTTTCTCATACATTTCCTAACAATTTCTTGTTTTGAAGTCTTATTTTTATTTTTATTTTTTGAGACTTGATTAACTTATTGGACTTGAAGAAAATCAATGTTTGAAGTTTAGGAAAGGCTAAAATGCCTCTTCGTCTAAGTTTGGGTATCTTAAAGGTGTTCTTCCTTAGTAGTTGGGTTAAGTACTGTTTGTTCGGGCGAATATATAATTTTTGATCCCGACCATTGCTGCTACCTTGACGTGGTGGTCGGGCTTGCCTATCGTGATGAAGCAATCGAGCTATACTGGCTGGAACAATCGTTCCTCAAGGTCCTACCTTGCCATACAGGTCGGTTGAAGAGCGGTAAGACTAAAAGCAGCAATCCCAAGGTCCGAAGGCGAAGTCGTACTGCCGACTGTACAGAGGTGTGACAGCAGTAAGGTGTTTCCTTCAGACAACCAGCATGACAGCAATGCTGTCTTCCCACAAGGGGGGGTAGAAAAGGTTAACCCTAAAAGTACACACATCCCACGGATTTCCGTTTCCGGCGGTAAGGTCTCTGACAAAGATGGGCATATCATTCATTCTTAATCCAGGAGATTGGATCGATGGGCAGAACACTTTAGGGATCAGTTCAACTGGCCTGCAGCCACATTTCAGTTACCCACGATCCCCAGTCGTCCTGAATGGCAAATTGAGGTAAGTCCTCCAACTCTCTACGAGGTTGAAAAAGTTATAGGAAATCTGAAGCGAGGGAGTGCAGCAGGCCCTGACAGGTTTACCCCTGAGATTTTTAAGGATGGCGGTCCAGTACTAGCAGCGAGATTGACTGAGGTCTTAGGTAGAATCTGGTAACTAGACGTAATTCCATCTAACTGGTCCCAATCACTGATTGTGTCGGTCTATGAAAAAGGACAAAAGTCCTCTTGTGACAATCACAGAGGAATCAGTTTGACTGATAGTGTCTAAAATATTAGCTTCAATAATACTTCGACGCCTAACCAAAGCTCGTGAAGAGCAGACTAGAGAAAACCAGGCTGGTATCCGATCTGGACGTAGTTGTATAGACCAGATATTTACTCTACGTCAGGTCCTAGAACATAGACACACATCCAGACGTCCCACAATAGTAGTATTTCTCGACCTTAAGGCAGCATTTGACTCCGTTGATCGTGAGGTGTTATGTCAGTGTTTGTCAGTGAAAGGAGTACCAAAGTAGTACATTAACCTCATAAAGGCTCTCTACTCGAACACAACTTGTCGAGTTATAGTCTATGGCGAACTGTCATCAGAAGTGGTTACCTCAAGTGGTGTTCGTCAGGGTTATCCACTTTCCCCATTCTTGTTTACCTTTGTCGTTGACATGCTTTTAGAGACAACACTTTCTAAGGTGCATCCACTCTCTGTGTTCTTCCAAATTCTAGTCTTCTGAACTCTTCATGTCTCTATCTTTTTTCTCTTTCCAAATTTATTTCACTGGATTATAATCCTTGAATAACATCTTCAAACCCTAATCTTTCGGGTTACTGTTTATACTCTTACTACTTCTAACACTATGGGATTTGAATCGACAACTGCATCTCTGTGCTAATGTAGTATGGCAATTCGAACTGATGTACGTATGTACGAAGTTCTACGTTGTGACTAACTGACTGACTGACAACGAAGAAACTGGCAGTGAGATATGGTAAACCAGAGAGACCTGTCAAGAACAAAGAAGGCAAGACAATCACGCAGATTCGAGAACAGAGGAGCAGGTGGTTAGAGCACTTCATATGACTCTTGAATAGACCAACCCCACTGAAGCAATCGGAAAGCAGCATACGCAGACCTTCCTATGGCTGTCCCTCCATCACCAGTTGAAGGAATCAGCATGGTCATCAGATAAATGAAGACTGAGAAAGCAGTAAGACCTGACAATATACCAGCTGAAGCACTAAAGTCAGATAAAGAAGTAACTGAAAAGATGCTCCACGTTCTATTCAGGAAGATTTGGGAGGAAGAACAAGTGCCGATAGACTGGGAAGAAGGATACCTCATCAAGATATCAAAGAAAAAAGTTCTGAGCAAATGTGAGAAATACAGATGAATCACACTACTATCGGTACCAGAAAACGTCTTCAACAAAGTGTTGCTGAACCGGATGGAGGATGCAGTAAACTCCTAACTTCGAAGTCAAGGGACAGAATTCCGTGAGGATCAATCGTGCACAGACCAAATCGCGACATTACGGATCATCGTTGAACAATCAGTTGAATGGAATTCGTCACCATTCAACAACTCCCTTGACTATGAGAAAGCATTTGACGTTGTGGAGAGGAGGACCCTATGGGATCTTGATGGAGAAGCTTTGTAAGAGGTGGAAACGTTCACGTACCTGTGAAGCATCATCGATGAACTTGGAGGATCAGATGCAGACGTCAATGCAAGGATTGCCAAGGCAAGGACAGTATTCCTACAGTTGAAGAACATGCTTTTAGAGATATCACTTTCATCATCTCAATCTCCTGGAGTTGAACTTTTACCGGGAGATTCACTTGTTGACTTAGAATACACCGACGACATAGTTTTATTCGGTGAAGACGCTGACAAAATGCAGAGTCCTCTGACCACTATAAGCAACAATGCAGGCATGTTCGGGATGCGATTCTGTCCCTCGAAGTGCAAAATGTTACTTCAGGATTGGGTTGCATCGACACCTGAACTAATGATAGGGAGTGAAGTAGTTGAGCGTTTAGACCACTTCACTTATCTTGGGAATTTCATCGGCCCTTGTGGTCTGGTATGTGACGAAATCTCAGCACGGATACAGAAGGCTCGTCTAGCTTTCGCCAACTTGCGTCATTTATGGCGTAGGCGAGATATCCGTCTAGCAACCAAAAAACGGGTTTACTGTGTAGCAGTTCGTTCCGTTCTACTTTATGGCAGTGAAACATGGCCGGTAAGAGTAGAGGATATTCGTAGGCTACTAGTATTCGATCATAGGTGTCTTCGACGCATTGCTTGTATATCCTGGGACCACCGGGTAAGTAATGCAGTTGTTAGGAAACGGGTACTAGGTAAGGATGGCAAATCAATTGATGAAGTAGTGAAACTTCATCAGTTGAGATGGCTGGGACATGTGTTACGTATGCTCAACCACCGACTGCCCCGACGTGAGAAGTTTTATGGTGTAGGAGCAGGTTGGAAGAAAGCTAGGAGCGGCCAGACCAAAACATGGCATAAATCCATGAAGTTGCTGACAAGTGGACTGGGCCATGTTGGTTAGTGTAGACTACATGGTTGGGATTCGCGAGATGATAGCAACCGATGGTTAGAGACCTTGAATGACATGGCTCAAAATCGTTTGCAATGGAGAAGGTGCATCCACTCTTTGTGTTCTACCAAATTCTAATCTCCTGAATTCTTCATGTCCGTATCCTTTTTCTCTTTCCAAATTTATTTCACCGTATGATACTCCTTCAATAACACCTTCAAACCCTTATCTTCCACATAATACTTATACTTTGCTTTGGGAGTGGAAGAAAGAATTATGACGCCTCATGATGAAAGCCGAGGCCCTTTGGAAGTCACGAGGCCGATGCTCCTTCTAACAACCAGAGCAACAATTTTTAAAGGTATATGGTACGTCCGGACAATGTGGCAGACCAGAACGTCCAGCCAACTAACTACGGAAATAAGGAGATACAAAATGGCAGTGCTTGAAATCAGCGAAACCCATTGGACCCAAGCTGGACAGAAAAGGCTCGATATGGGAGAGAGATGCTTCTCAGCTCCGGTCACGAAATGGGAAATGCTCTGTTACTTTCGTTCTTATTTTCCAGTATTTCATCGAAATCACGAACTCATCAATATAAAACCACCGTTGAAAACATGGAATCACTAGATGGCCGTCTTATTCTAGTATGGGACTCCTCAGCAGTGCGCATCCATGATCCGCACGCAGGACTCGAACCTATGACCCTTTATTTTGCTCGAACTTCTAACCTCTTGTCAACTGAGCCGGCGTCCAACGGCGTTAGTGTCTAATTTCAATCAGTCCACGTGTAGTGAACAAGAAGACGAGTGGGGACAATTGAATGTATTAGACACGAAAATTACAGACTATCTCACGTAAATCTGACAACCATACAGTAAACATTTAATTTGCAAACTATCAATCAATTGTCTCAATCTTGACCTTTCCTTCTTTAAATATCAATCCATCTTCTCTAATTTCTTTGTTCATGAATTTTCCTACCGATTGCGTTCCGTTCCGGTTCTTTCCTTATCAATCTTCTACTGAAATACATTCTATGCCTGACCACCGTTATATACTACTTATGCGGATATAAGTAACCCACACCACACACGGTATTGCGTGACCACTTTCCATTATCTTTGGTGGGCAGCCGCTTTAGATCCGACACTGTTGTACTCTACTCCTATATTTATTGATAAACTTTCGTGGATAGTCATTATACCTCAACCATGATTAATTCCTCTTATATCTCGTCCTCTGAACATAATTTTGTACTCAATAGAATAGAGTTCTAGCTAAAGTTAGTTTGTAACATATCGAACAGCAGTTATTAAAATAAAGCCAATTACATGTATTCTTTTGATGAACAAATCTTTGGATTTGACCAATTCCATTACGTTGGATACCAAGGTTTGAAAAACAAAGTATATTGTCCTGCTCATGCTGCATTCTAAATCGTATATTTGGATGTGGATGATTGCGAAGATTCAGCATATTAGACTCATGTTCGTGACTGTTGCAAGCAATACGCTTGCCTTCCTCGCTTAGCAAAGATTGATTTCAAACAGCTCTTACTAATGTGTACAAAATATGTACAATCCTAACTTAACAGTACCTTATATTGCTAAGTTGATGGAGGCTCTATGGGGAGTCTGTTAGGCCTGATCTTGGGATATATATTCATGCTCATCTTGGAACAGACAAAAACGATAATTAACGAGCCAATCATGTATGCCAGGTATATTGGTGACACATCTGTTGCTTACAGCAGTCACGAATATACTTTTAATATGACATCTTCCATACACACAAGCAAGAGCTGTTCGAAGTCATTCTTTGGTAAAGAGAGGATATTCGTAGGTCACTAATATTCGATCATAGGTATCTCCAAAGCATCGCTCGTGTATTTTGAGACCACCGAGTGAGCAACGACGAGATTGTGAGTAGACTACTAGGTGAAGGTGGCAATTCGATTGATGAGGTGGTTGAAACACATGTTACGTATGCCCAACTACCGTCCACGTGAATAGGAGATGTTTTCTGGTGTGGGAGTTAGGAGCGGTAAAATGAATACAAAGTCTCAGTCCATGAAGACCGTGAGAACTGAAGTGAGTCATGTTAATGCGTGGAGACTTACTGTTTGGGGTCTGCGTGATTGTCGTAACCAATGGTTAGAGTCTTTGGGTGACATGGATCAGAATTGTTCTGAGTGGTGTAGGTGGATTTCTCCTTATCTTCCTCTAAATCCTTAGTCCCGAAACCTACATATACCTTGTTTATTTTTCCTTACCTAATCTTGTTTTTTGCTACTAATGATACTGATACTACTGCTCCGGGATTTGCCTTAAAACAATTTTATCTGGCTGTGTAATGTGGTATAGGAACTTGAATTAGTGTACATGCGTCAGGTTATACTCATGGTGATGATAATAATGTGTTCTGTGTGTTGTGACTTTAGTTCTCGTACTTATTGAACATGGTAGTATGAAAATATCTAGCTCAAAACAACATAATCCTGTATAAGAAAAGACAACTTGTATGTACTTGTATTCAAACATAAAAATCTTTTATAAATAGGTACAAATAATTATGTAATGATTTTGATGGAGTGATAAAACCTGTAAATCATTCGATTTCCCTGTTTCTATTGTCTTCACAGTTACACATTTTTGTTAACGTCACATAGTTCAACAGTTATTTAGTTATGTTTGAGTAGTAGTCTTAACAATGATTTGTGGTTGTGTTTCTTTTTGAACGAGAAGTTTATTTTACCTACATGTTCGTATTTAACTTCGGCTAGGTAATTGTTTAAAATAAAGTCAACTCCAGCTTCACATATACTAAGAATTGTTTTCGGTTGTAAATTTACAGTGTAAAATAATTTATTGGTTGGTTACAGTTCATCTGTGTCTAATTTTCCGTGTTAAAGACAAAATCAAACTTGATATCACCGATGGTTAAGTCAGTTTTCTACATACTATACATAATAACATAAGTATAGATTTTCATTAAAAAGAATGGAATGTTAAAATGAACTGAAATGAAGACAATGTAAATAAATCCCTGAAATAATAAAATGCTTATGGTTTAGAAAGATTAAGATTTAGTATTTCTTGCTATTCAAGGGTGATCGGTATTAAACCATATCACCTAATATCTGTATTCACTAATTTCTGCTACAAATCCTATATTTGTCATACTATTCAAATAAACTGTCTATAACTTAAAGGTTTGATCCCATGTTCTTGATTGAATATCACGCCTGCAAAGTAGGGGGAGAAAATAGTGACAATGAAGTACTGACAATATCTCTTTTTCATACAACTTTGGTTCTCATGTGAAACCCTGCAGTAGAATGCTTTCTGAAATGAGTATAGTCAACTACTTTTGTCATATGGGAGGATATAGTTTATGTAAAATATTTGTAAATTCCTCTTCGTCATAGAACCTGTCGGTTGTCGGAAGTATCGATAATACATTGTTCAAACGACCTGAAACCTTCTTAGATTTGCTGTTCGTAGTGTAAATTTAAGAGTCAAAGATATAATGAGTACAAATCGTTGTGCAACCGTCTAAGTATTGATGATTAAGACTATATTGACGTTATCAAATCATTTTCTTTTGTAACCTCTCAGTCAACACACTTATCATTCATCATCCCTCTAATGTGAACATAATTACACTAAGTGTATGATTTAGAAAACTGGCTAAATTTAGCTTCTCTATGTATAATTAATTGATGTATTGGTAAAATAACATCTTTCTTATGTGTTATTTTTGGGGCCCATGTGATCGGACCGTAATACAGTAGAGTAGGTGTATTGATCTGGTCCGTTTATTGATTAACTCGCCTAGACTGTCTATCCAGTCTCGATAACCTTCAGCTAGCCAGTGATACGATAATAGTGAAATAACATCGGAGAATAGAACTGAACGACTATTGACCTAGAACGCAGCTCCCCACACTTGACCTCGTGTTGCCCGAATAGAACACAACATAGTAAACAGACAGCTTCTAGTTTAAGTATTTGACAATGATACAACAGAAATATAGACAGTAACTTCTGGTAGGATAATTCGAAAATTAAACTTTGCCCATTGTTTATCTCGTTATAGTGTTAACCTTCTCATAATAACACACAATGACAGTTACATTGAATTAGTTTAATCGGGTGACCTAGTTTTGATTTAATATTATTAAATGAGGGAAAAAACATTATGTTCGTGGGTTGTTATGTCATAAATCCTAAGTTTAGTCTTTCATCTAGTTTATCATGTTATGTAAACATTAAAAACTCCAACATACAGTTAGGTATACTTTTTTCAAGTAGATAGTGGTCGTATTGGGTTGATTCTAATATTCATCTATGATCATGCAGATGAAAAAATTCAGATACTAGCATAGAGCTGTGGCAGAATAATTAGATGAATTACACAAAATATATTTATGAGGCTAGCTGCATATAACCGCCATATAAATGTAGGCTTTTGGCAGGGACCTGAAATTTTGTGTAACCACGTCAACTTAACAAGTATATAACTTTTCGTTTTGTATAGTTCTATCGAATTTACTTCCCTTCTATAAATAATTAAGTAATATAATACTTATGTGGTAACTAATAATACAGAGTTACAACTTCCAAAGTGATTATATGGTTTTTTCAGGTGGTTGTGTTTTTATCTAATTCTTATGTTAATGCCCTGGTAATTTCGGGTATTATTATTAAGCATACAATGTTATCATTCATCTCTTACAGGCTAATTTGTATGATTTCAATTATTATCAGTATGGGGATTTGTGGGGATCGTAGTATTTTTGCAGTTGAATTCACAAGTCGATCTAAGCTAGACCACCATTGAAAACCTGTAACTACTGGATAGATGTTTCGTCCTAGTATAAGGTTCCTCAGCAGTGCACATCCACGATCCCTTACACGGGACTAGAACCCAAGACCTGCGGTCTCGCACGCGAACGCTGGTGGTCTAGCTTAGATTGACTTGTGAATTCAACTGTGAAAATACTACGATCTCCACAAATCTCAATACTGACAATAATCATGTGCTTATTAGTGACTAGCTTCAATATGGAACTCCTGGAGTTCTAGTGAGAATCCGCTATCATCAGAGTCCAATCCGTGTCGATCATGAGACAATTATCAACCTCAGATAGTAGATGAAGGGTTGTGCAAGATCATGGATCGATTGGAGTTATACATTAACACCGCTGAATCTCGGCTCAGTGGACTAAAGGTTAAACATTGGCGCGTGAGGTCGAGGGTCTTGGGTTCGAGTCCTGCGTGCTGGATCGTGGATGCTCACTACTGGGGAGTTTCGCACTAGGACGAAGCGGTTGTCCAGTGCTTCCAGGTTTTCAATGGTGGTCTAGCTTAGATCGAGTGGTGAATTCAATTGTAATTTCAATTAGTTTTGAAGTTCATACGCTTACTATCATAAAATCATACATTCCAACGTATATATAAATATGCTTATTGATTAATTTCGGAGATAAAATGTAATCATAACTATTGTGTGAATGTATCCAACCTGATATATAGGGTTAAATAAGTATTTCCTCAAATTTTATACACATACACGTAATTCAGACGATTAAACTGATACATCCCAGGTGTACTTATTGCGTTAGTTAGTATGCATTCATCTTTGTTCTTATAATTCGACCATTATTTCAGTACATTTTTTGTATTATATTTAATACTGTATCAAATACATTTCTACCTATTTGTTCTAGCATCCATTTTTATGTGTGGTTCTACTTCTTATCTTACAGAGTGAGAATACACGCTATTATCTCAATCGTTTAAATCATATTGGTGTAGAAGTAAGTACATTTGTAAAATGAAATTATTTGTCTTATTTCTCCGCATCATTTCCTGTATCAGATCTGTACTTCTAAAATTTAAGTTAAAAAATGATAGAACAATGGATCTTTGTAGTTATCATAGTATCTATCGCGTTACTTATTTTCTTTGTAATTGGATTAAAAACTAATCCTAATAAAATTGTAGTAATGCCTATTGTTTACATTATGTGACATTAGTATTTTGTTGATAAAATATCATTATCATAGGTTCTTATTAAAACAGTTTTATGTGTTATAATAAATTCGTCAAACTTTTAAATCACTTAAAGTTTTGTTAGGGAGTACTTACTTGATAATTCAGATTTTAAAAATTACATATGTTTCCGAACCCGTTTCATCTAACTCAGTTTGCGTAGTTGCTTTGTATCACTAGCTCTTAGGAAAACATACTTAGAACTAATTTCATTGACCTTTCCTCGGTAAATGAGTTTAAATATTTAGGGATACGTAAGCTGTTAGTCAGTGCTGAAATGAATAGTGTTTATTTTTACAGAAAATATGTAAACAATGATTCATTAAATAGTTATTGCTTAAGTATTGCTCCTTATAGATTACGGTTTGATATACTTCATTAATTCAAATAATATCTATGTTTAACAGGAAGCGTCTCGAAGTTTGACATAATTTTCCTTGTATTGTTTATTAGTTATAAACACGCGCAAATAACACCAACTAGACAGAAAGCAATTTGGATGAGTGTCAGTTATACGATTTAATCCAATGATATACTGATCATATGAAATTGTTTTTATGAGCATAAAATAATACAACTAAATATTGTCCACAAAATATATTATTTACTTAATCTTGTCCATTAACTGGTTATAATGCTATAGACATAATTTTCAAATTTAAGCTATTTATAATTAGCGGTAATCTAGTTATTTGGTTTTCTGTCTCTTTTATGGTTAATTAAAGCGTAGTCTATACAATTTTCTGTTCATTTTACCATTGAATGAAAAACAAAATTTTGTGTTACCTGTTCAGCACCCTACTCAACGTTTTCTCTCATCAGTATTATCATGTCACTGCCTAAATTATTTCCGTAAACGATAAATTCATTATTTACATGACGATAAATACACTTAAAGTGGAGTCCGAACATTACGTGGATCCCAGTTAGTGGTCTACGTAATGTCTACCTGATAAACTATAAAGTTTGACCACTGACTAAAGTGCACAATGGAAACCATTGTTCACAAATCTCTAGTTGAAAAAGCAACCTTCTACTATCTTTCATGTTGCTGTTTTTCCTGCTTGTATAGTTTCTGTTATGAACTTTACTCCACTCATTGTTGTGAAAGGGCCTAGTAGAGATCAGATTTCAATCAATTAGTTCACGCACTTTCAGTAAATACCTTTTAAAGAGTTGTCTACCGTACTTTTATCTAACCGTGATTATGGGCCTCTGTAAGTGATAAATAGTTGTATTTCTTACTGTTCAGGAAATCAAATTCAACTAGGAACACCCAACTCAGTTTTCTAGCACTGTCTAGCAATTTCTAGAATATATGGTTTATCATATGAGACATGAAGGTTTTGGTCTCTGTCTTAAGTTATGAATATGCACCGTTAATCAGATCCAAATGAGGATAAACGACGGATCTAGTTCTCCGTGGTTTTTATCGGTTTTCTTGCGTTGTGTGCTACTTATGCAGACAGATATAAGTAGTATGTGTCAGTCATGAGAAGTGTAATTCTTACTAACAGAAGAGAAAAATAAAGAGAAGGGAGAAGAAAACTAAAAGCAGTCAAAGTAGCAACAGGAATGAAGGAATGATGTAGTTTGTAAGAGACATTTCAAAGAGGTTGTGCAAATGGCATATTTGATGTTTGATTTCTCTATTTCACTGAGTCTACTTTAGTACTCGTTGACCACACTCCAACTGATTTCAATTCGTGATGATCAAATTACTTTTTCCAGTGTACCCTAAAATAGATACATCTTATTAAATAGACATGGTACCAAGTAGAGTTGCGTAGTCTTTTGGTGTTGATTTCTCTTAACTAGATTTTTTTTAATTGCAGAGCATTTTTTGTCACTCTGAACAATATCATCAGCGCTTGCCTCGTAAAAGTGTATTTACTAGAGGCTCATTTGTACATGAGATTGACACCGATATTGTCCAGATTAGAAATTAAATTATCTGGTTCAAAGAGCTCAACAACACCGAAAGAATCTACCTAAGCTACAAATCTTCCTCATTGTATGATCTAATTTATATCTCTACTGGAAAAGAGCTTTTAGAGAAGTTATATACAGACGTTAGTTGTTCTGATTTATCTTCATAATACTTGATCAAGACTCTGAATTAACAAACCTCAACTTATAAATAAGTATATGGATAATGAAGTCACTTGACTTTTATGTATGTCATCATTAATAGTGGAGACTTTATAGATTTATCACATCTCACACAAACAAAATGTTGTAAAAAATACAAAGTTATATCTTAGAGGCTTGGTTGTGTACATAGTGTAAATTATAAAATATGAGTTTCATAATTGTTAATGGCAGCTGATTACAGAAATTTTTACAAATCATTTTTCGATGTACAATCTCTTTCTTCCGTCGTATGATTATTATATCATCCATCACTCTCGTTTTATTCACTCTTCTCTTCTGACGTATTCCACGATTTGATGTTTAACTTAACATTGTTGAATTCAACGGATTCCTTTGCCTATATTTACATAATCATATACTGAGTAAAAGAATAATCATGTCTAGTCAGTAGTTCATTTTATTACTTACATCTTATACCTAGTAGGCTTAATCCATCAATACTTATGGTATATAAACGATACTATGAATATTATTTTCAATCTTGAACCTAGTTTGTCATAATAATAGAAGGATTGGAACAACTCATTTCTTTATAATGATAATGAAAATATACAGTGGAAACTCACCAGTTTAAATGAAGATAGTAAGCTTACTTGAAGATTGGAATGCTATGAATACATTCCTAACCGCAGTTGAAGTCATGAATTGTTAATTTATCGTAAATTAGTTTGTAACGAACTATATATTTTTTTGGAAACTTTGCTCAAATTAAATCACATCATAAGAATACTCAAATCTATAATCTCAAAATATTAAAAAGTTGAACACTTTACACTGTTTTTGTCCAACTTATTGACCAAAATTGATTCCACTGCCAGCTGTTTCGTTTATAGTCATGTATGTATACTTGTTGTGAAAGTAAACAAAATACCGAGACACTGTTTTTATAGTTTATGTAATAATGTATTTGACATTGTATTACGTTAACTTGTAACACTGAATTTTATTAATACACAAATAAACAGGATCGGTTGAAATTTTATTCTTAAAAGCATTAAGAATGTCAGTTATTTACGATTGCACGTTAGAGGTTTTTGATGCTGAATTCAATTAAACAATATTTTTCATAGTTTTCAATAGAGCCGAAGTTCATTATACAAGGCTTTGGACTTTCAACTATCAGGTCACGTACTAAAGCATCCTAAGTTTAATTTGATTAGTTGATTCGAAGTATTTCTTATGAGTAGTCGTATATCTCAAGGTTAAAATATAGTTACTGAGTTCTGTTTACTAAATAAACATATACATTCATTTTTTATCTTGTTCAAAATATAAAGACATTATCAACCATTATCTTGACAAACAATATCTACCAAACAAAACGATGTTACTGAAAATATATTGCTTTCAACTTATAAAACCCCATATGGATTTCTATCTGCTGTATAAAAATATATATTTAGATCCCTTTCGCTGTGGTATGTTGTATTTTGTGAAAACCCTTCCATTGATGTATGCAATGATTCATCATTGAGGATTTTAACTGTTACAAAACAAATTTGAGATGAACAACTGCTGTAAACATATAATGTCAAGTGGATTTCCCTAGAAGAGTAAGCTATTTGTTATCCTACACGTTTTCTTAAATGAGAACAAAATAAATTACATTTTTAGTTTATTCGAAATTTAGTTCATCTTTCAATTAATTAAGTTCCACTTTCCTATCAAATTTAGACTATGTGAATAAAGTCTTTCCAGATATATTTTTTTATTTTGTTTTGGATTCATAGAGACTGTTTTTCGATAGACTTTATCTCTAAAATATTAGAGAAAACACTTTCATTGATAATACGATACAATTTAACTGCTTAACTTTTAGAACAATCATCTCAACATCTAGTACTATTTACTTTTCTTATGAAATACAAACCAATAATCACACGGCAAACCACTTACATTATTTAAACTAAACTGATTCAGAAAGCTGAACATATTTAATCACTCACTTTTGCCGGGACGTTTTTCACTCTTCAGCTAGGGGTAATTGGTATTTAGGAAACATGAAATGGTGATATTGAATATCGATTTATACAACGATAAGTTGAATCGGAAACTGGAAGAATAAACTTTTTCAATTTCTGTTAATTATCTTCTCTGAGAAAAATTCATTTCGCACCTATTCTCTGAAACCATAGTTTTTATGTACTCAAACAGTTGAGTTGGTAATTGTTACGTTACGTGTGAATGGGTCTTTTGATCGGGGTAATCAATAAGTTAGGAAATTGTACTAATTACTAATTGTGTAACGCAATAATCGGTAATAAGCTTTATATTATTTGCCTAAAATCATTGCTTAATCAATTCCCTTTGATGTATAATGAGTATAGAACAATAAATCCTAATTGTATTTGCTTCATGCTCCGTTTCGTGTATTCAATTGGAGAAGAACGATTACAGTTTCATGATTACTCACTAGTTGTATCGGATATCAGTAGGGATATGATGTTTATCTTCATTACTCCCATATGTGTTACTCATTGTCGTTTTTTACGAATGGTTATTCCTTATAATGTTAGTTGTCTGTTAATTTACGTTTTTATAAAAGTGTCATATCTAGAGCTTAGATTCTTGCTATGCCGCGTACTACTAGACTACTTGAACGATCGAACCC